CTACTAACTTGACTCCTTGACAAAAGAGGAGTCAAGAGTTCATAAATAAAATTAGAAGGTTTAACCTGCTATATTTTGAAGGAAGGGAGCTCCCATCTATCCATATCTATTAATTCCATAAATTTTCTTCGAGAGATTAGAGAAAGAGTTGAAATCATGTATTGCATCTATAACTCCTAGATGCTAATATATCAACAGGTTTATTGGCTTTCCTAATAATAAATTCATAAATTCATGAGATTCAACTAATTATTGTGCTCCTTGAATCAATTTATCCAATCTCCAAGACATTTTCCATTTTCCGTTTATACATTTAACTAAGAGTAAGAAATCCGTTTCTCCCCAAACCCTATCGTAACCTCTATTAACACAACAGTTAAATATGCACATGCTTCAGCCATATTGTTGCTAGTACCTAGGCCTAGACTTAAAAGAGTAAGCAGACATCATGTTGCCTTGGCTGTCTCTGATTAGTCCTCCTCCTCCATAGCTAATTCCTTGAACGCAACTTTCATTCTAAATTATGATCAACTATACTTACCCTCAAACAAAGTACATTATGAGAAAATGAATGATGAAGTTGGAAAACAATCATTCCATAGATCTATATATACTATGAAACATTTTATCTTTGTGCCTCCTGAAAGGCCTCGTTCCCTGAATAAATTAGTGCATTAATTAAGAAGCTCATTTCATTAGTAATATAAAGTACATTTATAAATATATGGAGTATTCTTCCTTTCACCCTTTGAATAATAAGATCACGTTTATTATGAACTAAACTCACAAATTCTGACGGTGGATTTTCACTTAGTGACATGAGATGGGGATAATCAGGATGATATGTTAGACATATGTTTTGATAAGATGACCGAGGAACGTATCTCTTATCTACCTACGCAATAAGGAAGTGGAAACAACAAAATGAGAAAAGAAAATACATGCTTATCATAATGGACTTAAATCTCCTTAAAAAAAGTAAAATATTTGTGACTCAATCTAAATATTCATGAAGTTATTTTCTTTAATTTTATTTTTAATTAATTTATAGTTTACTTCAATTTGTGGTATATTGTCACGACCCAAATTTGGGCCGCGACTGGCACCCACACTTACCCTCCTATGTGAGCGAACCAACCAATCTAAACCTTAACATTTCAATATAATATCAACAGAAAGTAATGCGGAAGACTTAAACTCATTAATAAAATCAATAACTATTATTATCCCCAAAATCTGGAAGTCATCATCACAAGAACATCTACTTCAAATTACTAAATCTAAGAGTATTCTAAAAGTTAAAAATAACATAAGAAGCTAGTCCATGCCGGAAGTTCAAGGCATCAAGACTTGAAGAAGAAGATCCAGTCCAAGCTAGAAGCATTAGCTCACCCTGAATTTCCGATGTAGTAAGACTGGCTTGAATTACTGTTGAGTCGAAGACGACGGCACGTTTGCTGCACTCCACAAATAAACAAGAAGAAAACATAAAAGTAGGGGTCAGTACAAAACACGGGTACTGAGTAGATATCATCGGCCAACTCAAAATAGAAAACAATATATATCGAGTAATATCATAAAATCAACTATGATACTCAACATGTAGCAACAACAAGTACTATATCATTAACAATTACCGTCAAGTTCACACATGAGGACTCAAGCCTCAATACCATACTCATTTGGGAATCATGTTCATTTAGATTGAGTATATTAACATCTTTCAAGATTCATTATCTTTATTTCTCTTGTGTCGGTACGTGACACTCCGCTCCCTCATATTCATTAATCCTCTTGTGTCGGTACGTGACACTCCGATCTCCTAAATCTACGTGTCGGTTCGTGACACCCGATCCCCTAAATCTACGTGTCGATTCGTGACACCCGATCCCCTAAATCTACGTGTCGGTTCGTGACACCCGATCCCCTAATTCTACGTGTCGGTTCGTGACACCCGATCCCCTAATTCTACGTGTCGGTTCGTGACACCCGATCCCCTAATTCTACGTGTCGGTTCGTGACACCCGATCCCCTAATTCTACGTGTCGGTTCGTGACACCCGATCCCCTAATTCTACGTGTCGGTTCGTGACACCCGATCTCCTAATCTCATTCTATCAACTCATCAAGCCTTTTCCCTTATCAAGGCATCATCATTAAAAAGAGATTAGGTTTTTTTATCAAGATTTGGGATTTAATAACTTCATCATGCTTAATATAGTCACAATTATATAATCACGTTCATGCATGCATACAATTAAGCACATAGCAGGGTTTACAATACTATCAATACATATCATTCTCTATTAAGAGTTTACTATGAAAGCATGAAAACCATAACCTACCTCCACCGAAGAATTGCGATCAACAAGCTATCTTCTCAAAATCCTTGCTATTCCCTTCGTTTTTCTCTCTCTCTCTACTCGTTCTCTTTCTTTTTCTGTCTCTCTTTGTTCTTTCTTATTTTTCTTATTCAAACCCTCTTTCTTTTACCCTAATTAGTATATAATTAAGGATAAAAGATGACAATAATGCCCCACTAATTAACTTAAGGTTACCTCTTTTAACCCCCAAGTAATTAGACTTATTAACATTAACCCACTAACTTTATAATTAAGGCAAGAATAGTCAAAAACGTCCCTTAAAACGTATCAAGAAATCCGACCCAGACTGGGATTTCCGCAGTCTGTGACGGCCCGTCCTGCTGCCCGTCACAGAGTTCAGAGACTCAATTTCTCTGAAGAATCTGTGACGGTCCGTCACACCTGTGACGGTTCGTCCTGCCATTCCGTTACGAAGTTCAGAGAGTCGATTTCAGTACCCAATTTTCAGTTTTTCTAAGTGTTTTGAAACGAGACCCTGCGACGGTCCGTCGAGCCAATGACGGTTCGTCGTGGGGTCCGTCGCTTCTGCCAGTTTTTCTAGAAATAAAATCTGCTGCTCAAAACGACTAAACAGGTCGTTACATATATGGATCAACAACTTCAGTGACACACAAAACAAATAGGCATAGTAATAGTGCTAATCAAGTACTATAGGGTATTTATTACTAACAAGCCCAAAGAACTAGGTCTATATATACAAAAATAGAACTCAATGTGAAAGAGTGAAAGAGTGATAACCTTTCTGACTTAAAGTACACCCATTAGTTGCTCAAGGTAATCCGCTAGATACATTTTTCATTTGAGGGTGGACAACACCAGAATTTCTATTGTATGAATTGTCGGATTTGATACTTACGCTACGATAAAAATATTTTTTAGCGGCAATAAATATTGATATTAATGAAGAGTGTTAAAGAAATAATTGCCGTTAATGATAAATTTTTATGTAATGCTAATCAACAATATATAACCATATAATTAATACAACTAGATATTATCATCAACTATTTATTAAAACACACTTCCATTTTCCTACTTGAATGTTGGCAGTAAAAGGAAACAACACATAGATTATCTAAGGTACGTTTTGATAAATAGTTGATCACAATTTAGGCAGGAAGCTCTCATACCTAACAATTCACGTATAAAACTCAAAAAAATAGAATACGTTATACGTGTTTTTTAATCATTGACACTATCTTAATCAACAAAACATAGCTACATACTTGAAGGTCCAACATAAGGGGCACTTGAATCTCTTCCACTTTGGCAGCAATGGAAAAACAAGCTGACTCATCTATGGTTTATCCTTTTGAAACAAACTCCAGAAATCAATCAATCAAAACAGTTCATAGCTAATACAACATTCAAAGCATTGAAATCATAATGGTCAATAACATTCAACATCCATTTCAAAGACTCTTTTCTAACCCCCCAACAAAAACCCCTTTGAAACTAAACTTTTTTTTTCACATTAAACTAAACTAGTACAGTAAAAAAAACAATCTCTTTTTCTTTTGATAATAAAGTTTCAATGTCATCATCTTCCCAAAACAAGTCACATTCTAATAAAGATGAAGTCTTTTTCATATTCTTGTTCTGATTTTTTTGTTCTGAATGGTAGTTCAATGTGGATCATATTTTTCTTGTAGATTTATCGTTTAAATTATTGATACGTAACATTATGTAAAGATGGAGAATGATACAATCTATCCAAACATTTTATTTCTTAAAACTAACACAATATTATACATTTTAAAATAATTTGTCATAATCATCCAATCAGAGTTTAATGGATTGATTTCACACGTGATTACATAATTTTTATTTTATTTTTACTAGATTATTTCTTGCAGCATAAATATTATTTATTTTTTATACATTTATCACTGAAATTTACTTAACTGGGTTTTGTAAATTGTACTAACAAGAATCGTTGAACTTTAATAAGGAATAAGATGTTTTATAAAATTGACATTGCTCAGGTTGAATAATTTATCAAATGCGTTAGCAAATTTGGAGGAAAACTTATTTACATTTTAAATAATTTGAAGTTAAAATTTATTTGACCATCCATAAGAGTGGTTAGTAATAGTAACTCATCATAAATGATTTTTTCCTCTCTTTTACGCTAGATAACTAAGAGTAGAAAATGTTAAAATAATTATATTTACAATAAAAATATCATTCAACTTTGCTAATTATAAGTATCATATAATAATAAAGGTCCATTTCATTTTAAGATAGATAATAAAAAGTTTAATTTTGCCTCATTCTTGGTCTACTAATTATTTAATGGTCTAATAATTAATTAGTGCATTAATTAAGAAGCTTTTATATATATATATATATATATATATATATATATATATATATATTCTAATTCCAATTCTAATTCTAATTAATTTTTACATATAAATAGAAAAAAAAATCTAACGGAAGGCAAAATTGAACAAGTTTGAGTATTATATAGATAAATTTAAAACTTCTCTTTTTCCGATTAAGTAACTCATTTTTAATTAGAAAGTACAAAATCATTTATTATGAGTAACATTACTAACCACTCTTGTGGAGTATCAGTCATGTTCAATATTATTGAGCTGAAATCTAACAGATACCAACAAAACTGAATTAGAGAGTCAAGATAGATGCAAAAATAAAAAAAAAATGAAGTTACAAAGATTAAATCACAATAATCGAATGATGAACATATCACATGGTTTGAAATATTTCATATAACATTCTGATTTGTATAACACAACACAAGAAAGATAATTATGGAGATGAACATAATTCATAGTCACAGCTCACAGGCTGAAGATAATTTTGGTCACAGACTCACATCTACTTCTTACTTAACACAATCAGATTAGACCCCTAAAACCAACTTTCTATAGATAATGAGAAACTAGCTAGCAGCTTTAATTAATTTGGGCACAATCTAGTTTCCGTCATTAGTATCTGAATCAACTTGTATAACCAAATTAGGAACGTGTGGCTTTGTCGTGAATGCTGTCTTTGTGCGTTTCTTGCGTAACAAAGACATGCCACCACATTGCCTCTTCTTCGTATCTGGAGGCTGGACATCATCAGCTGATTTCAAAAATGAGTGATTCAAGAGCATGTCTGCACTCCAACGCGCGCTTGGATTCCTGGCCAAACAATTATTCAGGAAATCTTTTGCCTCTGTAGACAGTTTAGGATTCTGAATAATTGGTTCCTCATACTTAATTCGGTTCAACATGAGAATTGATGATTCCCATAGGGGTTCCCCAGTAATCATCTCGTAAACAGTACATCCGAGAGACCAAATATCAAATCCTGGGCAGTACTCCTCCTTAAGTAGAGCTTCAGGTGCCATATACCTTTTAGTTCCTCTTTGCCCCACATTCTCTTTCGAGTTCTGCTCCAAAGTTATGGAAAGTCCGAAATCAGCTATCTTTGCCACCTCATCATCAGCATCACCAGTAAGAAGAATGTTTTCGGGTTTTATATCACAATGAATAACCCCTTTTTTGTGAATCAAACTTAGCCCTAAAAGTATATTCTTTGTGTGCTTTTGGACTTGAAACTCAGGCAATCCTAGTTTGTTAATACGATCAGCTAGGCTTCCAACTGAGGCAAATTCAAGCAGCAAATTGTAAAGATATAAATCATCTTCAAAGGTGATATTAAATCCAAAACATTGAATAATTTGAGGACAATCCTCAAACATTCTTAAGAATTCTCTTTCATTTCGAAGAGATAAAGAGCGATTCAACAAACTAGACTTAACAGCAATGAGAGATGGTATCTTACGAGAACGGGTAGCAGTAGAAGCCATTGATACAAGACCATAGCTTCCTTTACCCAATATTTTACCTCTATTCCACGTAAATTTCGCTTGTTTTTCCACCATTACAATTATTTTTCACACTTCTTTTTTTTTTTACTTGAATGTGAGCTCTTTTGCTAGTGTATGTATAGGAGTCATGATAAATTAGCAGATTGGATCATATTTAAAATTGGGTTGAATATAGTCAGTAAAAATAAATTTGAATAAAACTCGTCTCAACCAATTCTTTGACCCATTTTTACCCTTCTTTTGTTCTTTTATGGACTTTTATTTATTTAGTTTTTCCATTTTTCATTTTTTTAATGTCTTTAAAATGGAAAATTTAAAAAGTATATTTTTATTGTCCAGTAGATTTGATATTCATATTTTTAACTAACTCATTAAAATATAAATAAAATGTACTGATTTTATATAGCGGTTTTGTTTCCTAATATTTCTGTTTTCCCCTTCACAGTGCTAGTAGAAGAAATTTTATTAAAATTTATCATATTTACTTCTTTTAATATATGAAAATTTGAAGCGGTATATAATTAATAAAATATTTAGCGTTAAATAACAAGCACTTATATAAATTGTGATTTATTAAAAAGAGTAATAACTTTGAATTCTAAGTCCTTCACGTGATTAATGAATAAAATAAAGAACCATCATTACTTAATTTCAAATCCTAATAAGACAATTCTAAAATGAACTTATTTTTTGAAATTCTATTTATTGGGTAAATATAATAAATTTAACATTAATTGAGTGCTAGTAAAAATTTTGGTCAAATATATGGAATAAAATGATACAACTCATTTTTTATTTTTGTTTCATTCGTGCAAAATTTTATTTAGTTCTCATCTTCATTTCTTTTTCTTTTTTATTTTGCTACTTCTTATCCATTTCTTTCTTCATGTCTTTAAATATGTTTTAAAGTGTATTTATTAATTTTCATAAATGTAGAATTACATTTAAAGTGTATTTATTAATTATGATAAATATATAATTACATTTGAAGTGTATTTATTAATTATGATATGATAAATGTATAGTTATATTTCTGCACTTAAATCGTCAAATAAATCTATTAAAATAAAATTAAAAGGAAAATTGTTACAAATCCATTGAACTAATTAAGTGGATTGTCCATTGGATATTCATGAATTACTTTTATTCATGTATGTATATTTTCAAGGTGATATGATCCATTATGGATAAACATGTATCTATTAATTTGGTGACCTTTGGGAGTGATATCTCAACACTATAAATAGAGACATCACTCACCATTTAAAGTACACACTTGAATAAGAAGAAAAATCATCTTCTTCTATCTACTTCTCTTGTCTTCTTCTCTTTATGATTATATTCTTATAGCTTGATTTTATAACACGTTATCAGCACGAGTATGCTCTAAAGGTTATAGCACTTCGCAAAAGTGTTATAGTTGAAACACTTGTGAGCAGGAACATGTTTTATTTATTTTTTCTTGTTACATATTTATATTTTCAAAAATTCCTCTTATACTAATAATTTATTTTAGTATATATGTGATATATGAAAATATAAAATATATTGGTTTGTTTTACTCAAACAATTTTATACATTGATTTATGATTATATTAACAGTTTTTCGTTTCATAAACGAATTGAAGGATAGTGAAGTAAATATTCATGTTGATTTTTTATGTGTTAATTATGAGGAACTTATTAATATTTATAATTGCTAGAGGTGAGAAAACTCTCAATCTTATTTTGACTAAATTTGCTTCTATAATTCTTGATTTCATTTAAAGGCTCATGGTTGAGTTCTATTGGTATTGACTTATATGACATTGATTGAATGGTAAGACGATAGATTCAAGTCCCATCGCACCAAAAGGGTAAGACATTTGGTTAAAGTCCAGATGACATAATGAAAAATATTTGCGGATAAGACGGTAGATTCATGTTCTATCGCACCAAGAGGGTAAGACATCAATTCGACTTTTGATGCACCATAATAAAAAGGTAGTGAGTTCAAGTCCCATAGAATTATGACCTAATGTGCCTTGTATGGATAAGACATTGATTTTGAGTCTCAATGCACCATATTGATGATAAAATGATGATTGAGGCAAAATAATATATTTTTGATGAAAAGTCTTGAAATTCATCATATTGAATTTGCTCCATTCCTTGAAAAGAATATGGAAGCAACATGTGATAACTTTGAAATTCGTCTGTTGACTTGCTCCATTCAATTATATGAATGTGGTAGCAGCAAATAATTCGTCTGAAAAATGACAAATATTAATGATATGAAAAAGGACGTGAATGGACGAAATTATAATAGTCATCATTGTGGTAATTATTAAAGGAAAAACACTATGGGTTCTCCAAATAGTCCTTCAAAATGTGAAGACAATTTTTTATTATCAAAATGGTATTAAAGGTCATTGGACTTGTGAATATTGTCGATCCAATAATTTGAAAAGTTTATAAATCCTCCATCAAAAGACAAAAAGATAAAGTAATGGTATACTTGATCTTTCAAAGTGATGTTGAGTTGTGTCATAGAAAATATGATGAATTTTAAAGCCATGACAATGTGCTTATAATGCAAATTAATGAAGTACATACAAATGATTAGTCCATTCCTTGAAAAGAATGTGACTTGTGATGAGTATAGTGAATGCTCGATCATTCTATAAGAGAATGGGTCAAGATGTGATAAAATCATTATGGGTTAGATTATATGCACAACTCACCTTTATGGAAGGTTTGAGAAAAAAAAATGATATATGCCACATCTCATCTCTACGGGAAGTTTGAGAGAAATATATAAATTTTATTTGATGTGAACGGTCAATGATCGTGTGCGTTTATACGTCATAAATATTATGGTATGTTTGTTATGAACTATCGAAAGGACAAAAGAAAGAAATAGTTCTTGCCTATAAGGGTTGTGGTCATTATTGTGTGGCAATATAAATTTGTCATTGATTGTGTACCTATGGTACAACAAAAGTAAAGCAAGAAACATGTTTTGCTCGTGATGTTTTGACCATGACAATAATGATATAATTTCTCCTTGAAGGAGATGCTCACAATAGGGATTGTGTCATGCACTATGTGATAGTACACAAAATTAATAGCAAGCTCTAACGAGTTGTGTTATTATCAGAGGAATAATAATGGGTTGTAGTAAGTCTCAAAAGAAATTAATTTAAGTTTCGAATGAATTGAAAATAAATATCGAGACTATAAATCACTACAACCGAAGGGGTTATAAATATTTATGTAAAAGGATACCCATTGTTTCCTCTTGTTTGTTGCACACTAAAGTGGGCATGCTGATGAAATCACATGCGAAAGTAAATTATAAGTGTACTGAAATAAAGATTAGTTGGCATGACCGGTTGACCATTCTGATTTAAATGTGATGCAAATGTAATTGAGAATTTATGTGGAATATATGATGAAGAAATAAAAGATTCTTCAAGAATTCTCACGTGTTGCTTGTTCTCTTCATAAAATGATCATTGTACCAGCTAAGGTTGAGATTGTAATTTCCTGAAATTTTTGGAATATATAAAAAGGTGAATATGAGCTCATTCATCTGCTATGTAGATCATTTGCAACTATACGATAGGCGTATCAATGCGATGATCACATGTTCTTTGTTGTCAACTTACAAATTGGTGTTTGTAAAGTTGTTTGCTTGAATTGTTAAAATTAAGAGCACAGTTTCAAACTATGGAATTATATTGATGACACTGGTTGATTTAGCAGAAATTGTATGCCTCCAATTATAGCTTAATCATGGTTATGAGAACAAAACTCTCAAATGAGATATGGTATGAGATATGTAACATGTATCAACACATGTATGCATCAAGCCAACAATGTTTCCCCTTTAAAATTGGTTTAGGGTCAGAAAACAAATAATTTTCATCTTAGAGGTTGAATGTGCGGTCATGATCTAATTGCTCCACCATGCACAAAGATGAACTCCCAAATAAGGTTGAAATGAATGTTAGATTTTCTAACATTAGGGGGAGAGATGATTGACATCTGAAAATTATGTGTGAGGTTAATTATGAATTATCTAAAACCTCGTTAAATAAATATGTGAACTTAAAGTTCAAGGGATAATTCAGTTGCATAATGTTGCAAATCAGTTGCCAGATGAATGCACTAACCCTATGATATAATTCAGCTTCAAATACTCTAATATGAAGTCCTTGAAGGACAAAGTCTATGATACGCCGTAAGCGTAATAGACCAATCGGTTCCAAATATAGAATTCCTTGAAGAAGGAAGGAGCAAATGATCAATATGGTCATGATAATGAGGCAAATTCTATAAAAGAACACATTGACATAACACATCATAAAATCTCGAAAAAAAATCCAGGTACCTGAAAATAATGAAAAATGAAGAGATCTTGATAAGTTATGTCATATTGGAATCAATATCAAATAACCGTCGACGGTATCTTTGATATGAGGTAGCGCTCAATGATATAAATTGTGACGAGGATCTTAAATTCAAATCTGTCATAGAATGTGGACAGATAAATGGTTGGCCAAGTAAAATGCATAATTTAAGTATATTGTTCACTTAGAAAAGTGACGTTTTGGACTGGTAGTCCATAAGTCAAGATATAATGTCAGTGGAGTATAATAAATTATTATGCGATGGTATAATCGTAATATATCAAGTACAATTTGTGCCTTGGGGCATAAAATTTTTTCGCAAAATTCTTGACATTGTTGGAGATGTTTTCTCCTATGGTAGATGCAATGAAGTTTGTTTTGATCTGACAACATATGAAAAACTTGAATACATATAATGAATAATTATCATGTCTAGCTAGACAATACTGAAGGTTATATGAAAATCCTTGAAGTAATCGAGGTGTGAAGCATATAAGAGTTTGAAAGAAACTTTTTCAATATATAAAACCTCAAAATCCTTATATGGATTGAAATAGTCAAGGAAGAAAAGGGTACAAAAGAATGACCTTAATTGTCCTTGTATTTTATGAAAATGTCTTGGTAAGACAGAATTTTGTCTTGACCTACAGATTGATAATTTGACAAATGAAATATTTGTCTAACGGTGCACATAGTTTTGATGCAATGTTAAATGGATAAATC